ACTGGCATAGTGAAAATGTTGCAGAACTGTAAAAGCATATGCTGATACTTGCTCCCAAAACAGTGCGCGAGTCGCGAAACTTACCTGTACATGACACGACAAGATGGCAATGAATGTACCGGTAGCTTTCAATGTCGACCACTGCGCTGGTGCAATACCCGTCATGGGAAATGATAGAGCAGTGCCCACTCCCTTCAAAAATTTTTAATTTTGAGAAGAAAATTTTTTTAAGCTCATTTGCAACTTACTTGTAATACTCGCATAATAAATACGGCTGCAAATCCGTACTTCACGGCAAGAGGGAAAGATAAAGTAGCAACCGTTGTCAGAAGACCACTGACTGCGACAGCCGCCCTGAAAACAAGTTTTTAGCCCTCTTTTTTGCAATTCTAACATAGGGCACCAAAATAGACATAGTGAGAATACTTACCGTAGTCCAAACTTCTGAATGAGCAGCGAATTTGGCACAGTGCCGAGAATGCAACCTATAGCGATAGCCGAGAACAGAGAGTTCTTATGCTTGCTAGAGTCCAGCCAGTGTACTGAAAACGCAATTCGTCATTTGGTAAGTTGTACTTTTGAAGCTAATGTTGAGCCAAAAACTGAAAACTGAGTTTTGCTTTTCAAAACTCACCTTCTGTAGTATTTTTGTTTTCACTGTAAAAGTCCGTTTTCACATCGTCCATACAGATTATGGTAAAATTAAGTGCCAGACTGTTCGAGAAGATTAGCGTCAAGCAGGCCAAGCTCAACGCAAGGACTATGTATCGAGTCCGACCAGCGAAGTACATCTGCAAAGTAATTCTGCTGATGATTGTAAATCTTGGGAAAACTTTGGCCTTCAATATTATTCAATAAACAAAATTCAATTTTTGTGAAGAAAAATCCATAGAAGTGTATTGCTAACACTATTCGAAGAGGCTTGATTGTAATTCGCTTAAAAAAAAGCCTTTTCAAGGCTCAGTGTATTTTCAGAATTCTTTCTCAGCTTATTATGGAAAATGTTTCTTGTTTGAGTGAATCGTAAAAAAGGGGAGGGATAGAAAGCTAAAATGTTTGGAATAATGATGTCTCTGTATCCTCAAACCAGGAAAGAAGCTGAACGGTAGACCACAACTACCTTGTTCAGTAGTGTAAAGTGACCCAGCTATAGCTGAAAAAAATTTCCTAAGCTGCATTGATAGCACTAATAAGCACAGTTTTTATACAAAAACTACCGCCAGTGACCTATGCAAATTATCTTACTCGGCATATGATTTATTCTACTATGTAAAAATTTCCATATGAAATTAATCACTTGCCCTTGTTTTGTGATGACAATCTCTAGTCGGAGAAGTGCGTACGCTGATCTGTTCACCCTACGTTGATGTCCTTCGCCCGTGATCTCAAACAATGTTTCATAGTATTCTGATCGAGGATCGGCATGAACCGCTATCATTATGCGTGAATAATGGACTTCTGTTGCGGGAGCAAAGAATCGTACAAAGTGCAGTCGAGACCGGAACGTTCGGACGCATATTTCTCTTAAGCTTTTAGACTTGGTAATGATGCGTTTGTCAGAAATCATTGCGCATAGTTAAAAAGCTATAATGGCATGAATAAATGCACTCATGTGCGAAAATAATTCGAGCCAAAAAACATTCATTTTGGTTTGTTTGTCTAAAGTGCAGTATGCGCTTTGAGGTTCTATATGTCTGTCACTCAAATTAGTAAGGAATGATTTACGGTTATGCACAGCAAAAAAATCTTCGTTTGTACTCCGCATGTTGAAGTCAATGTTCAACATATAGAGGTTTCTTACAAAATTTTGGATGTATCATCGTGCACGATCTTGCTGTTTCAGCTTCATAAGCGAGAGTAAGCTGAGCTTTTTTT